GGTACGAGGGTAGGAGTGTCTAAATGGTAAATATCTTATAGTGCTCAGTTGAGTTATTGTTTTATTATCACAACTGCAATTGCTATTGTGATTGGTTTAATTGGCAAAATTTTCAATGAATCATTATTTTATCAGTTGTATTCTATCAATAGTTTCAAGAATTATATTAATTTTGATGCATTTAATGTTCTGTGATGAGTGTTGTTTCATCCACTTGCTCAGCCTCTTTGCCTTTGCCTCTTTGATTGTGCCCTATAAATATTCCTATAATTGTTTTTACCACCTTGCATGCATAGCTGGGCACTTATTAAGACTTATAGAGGTTCTCTCTACCTTCTAATGCTTCTAGAGAAGTCTTTAGACAGTATCTCTATGCTCTCTTGCTGTTAGAAAGCTCATAACTTTGTCCCATTGGCAAGCTGGCATTTTGTTTGTCGTGGCCATATCCTTTTTTATACAAGGAGCATGGTGGTTGCATACAATGTAGTACAACAAATAAAGAATGTTAGGAACGACCTGTGAGTAAACATATGCCATATAAATATTGTTTTCATTTGGGTTGACAGTCATTTTAATTAATGTCACTTCTTCATGCATATGATACCCTTTTTTAAATAATTTAATATCATAAATAAAAAAACATACTTCAATAAAATGTTTATAATTCACTCAAAAGTTATCAGTAAAAGCAAGAAAAAGTAAATTTCACAATTTATGCAGTACAACTAAACGTATGCATTCAATTAATGTTCAGGCCTCTTACTGTTGTGGGAGGTGGAGCTTTAAATTCCCACGAACAAGATAACCCCCAAAATATAAATGCTAGAACCATACATATACCATACAATATTAAAGAAATAACTAGAAATGCTATTCTAAGACCATAGTTTCCACGTAAATTTGATGCTGGATCAATTGCACAATCTAATGGTTGAAAATTATCAGCAACTAAGAAAAGTCCAATGCATACGATACTGAGAACTGATACCAAAAAAACAACTATAGCTATCAGCCAGTTCCATTTTGTTACTAATCTGTTCCATATTTTTGCTAGGCCACAACAACAGCCACAACAACATGCACAGCTACATACAAGCTTTGTGCATCTTCCTTTTGTGCAATCATCTATACATAATCCTGGATAAGAACTGCCATCATTTGGAACTTGTGAATCTATTACATTTGTAATTTTTGCACTTTCTGCAATGAGCTTTACTTTTCCATCATTTATGGTTGTAACTCCTCCTTTGATTACTAGCGTGTGTTCTTGTTCACCTTGATTGTTGTTTTGTGGTACCTCTTCTCCTCCTTTAATTGTTAATCGACGTCTTTCTTGCCCTATTTGTTGTTGTTGTTGTTGTTGTTCTCCTTCTTGTACTTGTTGTTGTTGTTGTTGTCCTCCTTCTTGTACTTGTTGTTGTTGTTGTTGTCCTCCTTCTTGTACTTGTTGTTGTTGTTGTTGTCCTCCTTCTTGTACTTGTTGTTGTTGTTGTTGTCCTCCTTGTACTTGTTGTTGTTGTTGTTGTTGTTCATTGTTTTGTGCCTCTTCTATATTTTCTATTGTTCCATTGACAAAAAATAGATCTCCTTCTGCAGTGATGTCTCTTCCTTCAATAATTGTTGTTCCTCCATTCTTGCCATTTGGCTGTTTCCCTCCAATGACTGCTATTGTTGCACTCTGTGAAGGTTCAGTACTGGTTGCTCCTTTGATGTTTACCTGACTGTCACTTTTTGTTACTCCTCCTTCAATTATTACACTTTTGTATTCAGTAATTGTACATGTACCATCACCATTTCTTTGAATGTTGTTGGGCTTGTATGTACACGTAACTGTTCCACCATAGTTGATTGCTTTCTTGTTCAATGTTCCTTCGAAATTATGATTGATTTTTATTTCTTGATTTGTTAGCTCCAACATGGTGACGCACATTCTGATTATCGAATATATTATTAATCCAAACAATATTCCTCCGTACAAACACCACACTAGATAGTAAAAAGTTGTTTTATTATTGTTGTCATCACATGGATCGACACTTTCTAGAGCTGCAGTATAGGCACCATCAACTAACGGAATAAATCCAAATACTTCAAGTATAAATGTGTAAAGCGCTTCATAAATATTTGCATTTCTTTTGTTGTTTCTTTGTTTGGTCCATTGAGCTTTGTCATATTTACCTTTTTCTAGATGTTTTCTGATTAGCTTTTCTTCTTTTCCATTGTATTCCTTGACTAATCCATGAAGAAATTTGATGCCAAATATTCCAACAAGTCCAGCAACGATTAATCCTCCTGATATGATTTTATTAATGGTAGTGTTTTTTATAAATTCTGCATCATTAAAGTTATCTCCAGCATAGTATAATGCAACACTAGCAATGACTCCTAGTTCCAAGACGAACAAGCACGCCTCCTTACAAAGATTGAGGCATTTTATTTTTCTGTTGTAGTATATGATTATCTTATGTGCTATTATTGCTATAAAAGCAGCAATTATGTATGCTCCAATAAATCCTCCAAATAGCCCAAATCTAGCTCCTTTTCCCAAATTTTCCTTTGTGTGTAATTGCCCAATTGCAACTCCCAATGTGTTCAGAGCATCAAAAGGAAAAATGAGGACTTTTGCTATGTCAAGCGTAATTTCTTCACCTGTCTTTTTCCTATTAACCTAACAAGTTCAAAATATAATCCAACCCAATTTGAATCAAACTATTTACCTTGTTTGCCTTTTCTCCCCCAGCAAGCTTGGTAACCTTGGTAGTTATCACTTCTTGGCCTGGCATGGTTTTTTTAATCTGGAGGATTTTGTTCTTGCTTAGTTTGCTGCTACTCTTCACTGAGTGAATGTAATGGAGGCTTCTCCTTTTATAGTAACAGTCTTTGAGAACCGCATTCTTTTAATGTTGCTATAGTAACTACACCTAAACAGCATCAGGTGACATTTTTTATGATAGCACTCCATTAAAAACTAACTGTCTGTTACATTCTATCACAGCAACTCCAACTAGTTGCTACTATTCCTGGTAATGTCAGTCTCTACTGCACATTCTTCACCTTCTCACAACCATTAGTTGATACTTTTCCTGAAATTGATGGTGTTTGTCCAGACTCTATGGCTCTACGAGTCTGTCTCTTCTTACATGTACATGTACTGGTACGAGGGTAGGAGTGTCTATATTGTAAATATTCTATAGTGCTCAGTTGAATTATTGTTTTATTATCACAACTGCAATTGCTATTGTGATTGGTTTAATTTGCAAAATTTCCAGTTAAAATTAGTCACTTGTATTCTATGAACAGTCATTTTCCAGGAATTATATTAATTTTAATACAGTGCATGTACCATAGTTCCAGGAATTATAGCTCTTTATGTAGCCAACCCTAACTAGGCAGGTCTGGTCGAATGAATGTACATTACTTAGTTCCTTGTGATCCATTAAATATTTTATTATACGTTTCACTACTATATAAGCTACACAGAATGCAACTTCCCTTAAAATTATGGCCAAGTATTTGCTCTAAGTGTTAGTCCATAATTAAGAGCATCCATTGTACCATGAGGAGTTGAATTTGATATGTATCACCCATATTAACCTATTTCACTCATATTAGCCATATTAGTTCTATTTTGGGTGAAGCCAGAAGTGAATCTTGTAAATACACTTATGGTCTTATAAGTAGCCCTTATATCACAACATTTTAAAAGCAAAAAAACATTTTAAGTTAATACTGTTAGTATTGAGTGTAGTGAGTATCCTTGCTTGCAATAAGAGTCAACAGTGAATGATTATAATCGTCATTGTGGCTGCTTAAACTCTTAAATAAACGCCCATCCTTAAAATATTCTCACTATAGATGCGCATATTCTACCCAATTTAGGTAGCCTCAACTTTAGATTGCTCCAAATAGCTTAACTCAAGCACAGTTGGTAGACCTAAGGACATGGGTTCAATCCCAGATTCGGTAAATTTTCTTATTTGTATGCAATTTTTTCCCTGTTAATGATTAAACACCTGGACTTCTAATCAGGCAAATACTTTGGGTTTCTTTTCTGAAATGAAGTTTTTATTTAAAATGGCTGCTATCTTGTGATTTTGATCAATACTAGAAAGTATTTTCTAAAGAAACACAATCAGTAATTATTGCAAAACTAACATTGTAATACTATTAAAAATTAAAAGGGACAAATTTTCCTATGCAATATTTATTGCTTGAAGTTAATGTTTCTTGTATTATGCACATCAGCTTGTATAGTTAAAGTTAGACTGGTGGCCTCATTTGCCGCCCCATCTTATCTTTATCGTCATCTCCATCCTCATTTCCATCCTCATCTCCATTCTCATCTCCGTTCTCATTTCCATTCTCATCTCCGTTCTCATCTCCATCCTCATCTCCATCCTCATCTCCATCCTCATCTCCATCCTCCTCTTTTGGTTTCAAGCAATAAGATCTGCAGCAAAATATAATTGCTAGAACCATACATATTACATAGCATACAAAAGAGACACATAGCAAGCCTATCCTAATGTTAAGACCATCTTCTAATTCATTGTTGTGTATTTCAAGTGTACATTCCAAAGGTTGAATATTATCAGCAACCAAAAATGATGCAATACAAAAGAAGCTGAGGATTAATATGATGTAAAGAAATCCAGCTATGGTCCAGTTCCATTTTGTTACTAAGTTGTTCCATGACTTTATTAAGTAATGGTTGCTATTACATGTACATTTAGTCAAGCAACATAAACTTGTACATGTATTGTTTTCACAGCATACTCCACTATAATGTAGGGCGTCATCTTCATTTTGAACTGTTGCACCTTTAATTTCAGCACTGTCTGCAGTGAGCGTTGTTGTTCCACCAATGATGCTTGTAATTCCTCCTTCGATTGTTAAAGTACATGTATGTTCTCCATTCTCATTTTCTTCATTTTGTTGCCTCTTTATTCTTCCTTCAATTATTAAAGCACGTTGTTGTCTATCTTCTTCTTGTTGTTGTTGTCCGTCTTGTTGTTGTCGATTGTTTCCTTCTTTATTTTCTATTGTTCCATTGACAAATATAAGATCTCCTTCTGCAATGATGTCTCTTCCTTCAATAATTGTTGTTCCTCCATTTTTGCCATTTGGTTGTTTCCCTCCAATGACTGCTATTGTTACAGGCTGAGTGTTGAATATTCCTTTAATGGTTGTTTGGCTATTGCTTTTTGTTACTCCTCCTTCAATCATCACATCTTCATATCCAGTAATTGTACGAGTACCATCATCATTTCTTTGAATATTTTCAGTCTTGTATGTACACGTGACTGTTCCACCATAGTTGGTTACTTCTTCATTACATGATCCTTCGAAATTCTGATTGATTTTTATTTTTTGACTTGTTAACTTCAACATGACAATACACGGCCTAAGCATTACATATACTACTATTAGAGCTAATATGAGTGCATAAATAACCCACAGGAGAATGAAGAATTTTGTTTTTTTTCTATTTTCACACGGATCATCAAGTTCTAAAAGTAAGGTATAGCCACCATCAATCAATGGAATAAACCCAAATGCTTCAAGTATTAACATGTAAAGTGCCTCATAAAACTTTGCGTTTCTTTTTTTGTTTCTTTTATCCCATTCAATTTCGTTGATTTTGCCTTTTTTAAGAGATTTTTCAATTAAGTTTTCTTCCTTTTTGTTAGAATCCTTTATTTTACCATGAATAAAATTGAAAATATATAGTGAAACAAGTGCAGTACCAATGAGTCCTCCTGACACATATTTGACACTATCATTGTTAGGTATCGCTTCAGCAAAGTTATCTCCAAAGAAGTATACTGCAACACTTAAAATGGCTAATATTTCGAGAACAAACAAAGCTATCTTCTTACAATTTTGCATGTAATGCCTTTTGTGACATGAACATATTGGCCTGCATTGCTTTTTTTTCCATGCCTTATACAGCCTTTTGTTGCATGAAATTGCTGTTGTTACAAAAAGAGCAGTAACAAGATATAGGGCAACAAATGCAAAATAAAACCCAATCCTAGCTCTTGTAGGTATTTCTCCTCCATTACCACGACGCCAGCTTACTATGGCCAGCGTGTTAAGTAGATCAAAAGGAAATATGAGGACTACTGCAATGCTGAGTATTATATCTGTAGCTTTGACCTAAACATAAAGTGAAAGGAATTGGAGTGTAATGTTTGAGTTGTACTATTTACCTTTTTTTTAATAATCTAAAATATGAAATGAAGAATAATAAAATACAATGTTTGTATGTAATATTTTAGCTAACCTTGGTGAGTCGTTTCTCTGTCGTAGCTCCTGCCACATTCATTTTGTTAATCTTTTAAAATGTTTTTTTTTTGCCTGATTACAATGAAACATTTCCTTTTATACACACAGTCACCAAGAGCAGCATTCCTTAATGTTGCTATAGTAGCTACACCTAAGCAGCATCAGGTGACATTTTTTATGATAACACTCCATTAAAAACTAACTGTCTGTTACATTCTATCACAGCAACTCCAACTAGTTGCTACTATTCCTGGTAATGTCAGTCTCTACTGCACATACTTGATCTTCTCAACCAGGACTAATTACTACTTTTCCTGGAATTGATGGTGTTTGTCCAGACTCTATGGCTCGTAGTCTGCCTCTCCTACATGTACTGGTACGAGGGTAGGAGTATCAAAACTGTAAATATTGTTTAGCGTAATGATACATACTTATAGACACCATTGATTATAATTATTAATATTATTTTTATAAATTTTACTATTATATATTTCTCTCTCTCTCTCTCTCTTGGATACAGGGTGGTTATTTTTCTCAAGTTCGTAACACTAAGAAATCATCTCAGCGTTTACGTGAAGCACTAGTTGATTCTAATCTCTGTCTCCCCTTGTGTCTACTGACAGCTCAACAGAGAGACTGTATAGTCTATAGAGATGGGAGCCATCTTCACTTGAAACTAGTCTGCTCCATGTATGACAATGTAAGTTTTATTATACATATATTATGATGATGCACATACATGTACTTATGTTGTGTAGAAAATTTAAGCTAGTTCTGTTAAAGTTTCTCCAAAATCAGACACAAGTCCCTTTACTACAGTACAGGGATTTTGCCAAAAATGGAAAGTAGAGAACTCTCCATTTTTATTACATTCCCTGATGCATATACATGTACTTATGTTGTGTAAAAGTTTAAGCTGATTCCAATCAAATTTGGATTTTTTATGAATTTTTAAAAGTTACTCCATTGTGGTATACTAATGATGAACAGTTAATCACCATCTTTCGATTGATGAATAAAATATGAAAATATTTATTATTATTTCTGAAGTATACTACTATAGTACATGATACACATACATGTACCTTGTATTCCATATATAAATAATAATAATAATATTATTATTATTATTATTATTATTATTATTACTATTAATTCTCCTAGTGTATGGATACTCTGGTTCAGTTTGGTGGTTTCCTCTCATCTCATTTAAGTCCTGACGAGTACTCTAAGAGAGTCCCTTCCCTAGATACCCTGATACAGGAGTATAGGATGACGGGGGACGTAGCGTTCTTCCTTTATAGACCAAAGATATTCTCAAGCATTGGAGTAAGGAAAGGGGGCAGGGGTTGAAAGAGGTTTGGCTTAAACAAGTGTGTGGACGGTGGATATGATGATATTTTTATGACAATTCTTATTATTTTTGATGAATTTTCAGTCTCCGTACTGTCTGATCCACTAATTATTATAATTAATATTTCTATTATTAGCTTCATGATGTCATTATGATGTCATTATGATGTCATTGTTCTATTTTTAGGTCAAGTTTGCAGAGTTAGAGAAATCCTTTAAAAATGTCTCAAACGAAAGCAAGAAATCAATAATGAACCGACAGGAGGTGTGGAGAAAGAATTAATATTGTTCTATTTATAAATTCCAATATCTATTTTTAGAAACACTTCATTACATCATGTGAGGAAGTCTTTGGTCCAATTATAGAATCAGTCAGACCACTTCAACCGAGCAAAGTCTGGGAAGACATCAAGTATGTGTTTATTAATATTCATTTATTTATTTGTTTATTTATTTATTTTAGTTGTTCGTTCTATGTTGCTTTCTGGTCCCTGTCCTTATATGATCTTCATGTTCCCAAGGAGCGGTACAATGATGAGATTAACAAAGCTAAAGACGTTATACAAACACTGGAGAACAATCAAGAAATGGTAATAACTATTAGTTAATAACTAGCTCCACCCATAATATTAATAACTGGCTCTGCCCACTGTGTCACAGATGATGAATAATCAATCACCATCTTTCGATTGATCCTAATGAAAATATTAATTATTAATAAACTGATTGTGATGCATCATGTACTAATAGATGTAATACGTACATGTACGATACTTTAGCACCTCCCTCCCCTAGCCGGCTAGTAAGAAGAAGAAGGAGCAGGAGCGGTCCCAGGCCCTCATTGATAAACTGATGGAAGAGAAGAAGAGACAAGAGGATAACCATCAGCTGATCATCAGCTACTTGAGAAACCAGAAGGACTCGTTTATCAATCCACGTATGTTAGTTATTAATAATGATGATGATGAATTGATGATTGTGATGATATTATTGGTCCGTGTTACTGATCCATACTGATCTGATACTCATACCAATACTGAATCATTGATTCTGATTTCATTTGATTTGATTCTGATTCCATACTGATCCTTTCACCAGGTGTTCTTAAAAGTCGTACATTGAATCGCTTGTTGCAGCTGTGTATATTCCCCAGGTGCCGGTTCACTACTCTTGATGCGATATATTGTGCCAAATTCATACAAACACTTCACATACTGGAGACTCCTAACTTCTCTACAATACTGCTACTGGATAAAGTGAGTTAACACTGAGTTAATGCAAGAGTTAGCATTGTGTTAATGCATACTTAACGCAGAGTTAACACTGATTTAATGCACATTGTAATGATGAAGTTATTGGTCCGTGTTACTGAGAAATATCTGATTGATATCTCACCAATACTGACAAGCAATGTGATTTATTTATTTTATTTATTTATTATTAAAATAATATTTTATTTATTTTTGATTTTCTTTAGTTGTTTTCTGATGTTTCCTGCACTGTGTCTGCCTGTACTGAGAATGAAGTCAGAAGATATGGTAAGATTTGACACTGGAATCAGTGAATCACTGATATTGATTTGATATCGATTTTTAGGTCATTTCTTGTACTATTTGCTTGAGATGATCGGTCGCTGGCATAACAGTGAATCAATTTATATGGCTGTAAGCTATTAATTATTATTATTATTATTATTATTATTATTATTATTATTTATCTAGGAGTGTGCTAATACTCAGGGTTTTGTCTCTACGATGAAGTCCTCAGCCTCTGGCAATGAGAAACTCAATTTAGACTACGAGAACTATCGTCATGTGACCCACAAGTGGCACTACAAGATAACCAAATCCCTAGTGATGTGTCTGGAATCCAAAGACTACATTCAAATCAGGAATGGACTATTGCTATTAACAAAGGTATCAATGTATTCTTTATTAGTGTCATTATTCTGTGTCTTCTCTTCTATCTTTATTTAGATCTTGCCACATTATCCAAAAGTGGAGCACCTCTCTTTGGTACTGGAGAGAAGGGTTGGTAAGATCATTGAAGAAGAGAAAGACAAAAGACAGGATCTTTATGTACTAGCAATCGGGTAAGATAGAGAGAGGAACATTAACAATCATTGATAATTATGATAAAATTTTTATTTGTTGTTATTATTATTATTATATTTTTAGTTATGCTGGTATGCTGAAAACACAAGCCCCTAATCTTATTCCTGAGACAGAATTCCATGAGAAGGTAATTCATTATTTTCATAATTAATTTTATTCATTAATTACTATTATTAATTAACAGGTCATTAAGAAGGAGGAACCCGATACCTTATCAAACGGTAAAGATGAGAAACCCAAACCTAAACCAGCTCCATCATCATCTCAAACGAGCGATAAACCCAAACCTCCTGAAAAACCCAAAGTATCGACTAAAGCTCCCAAAGTACCAGAAAAAGTAAAATCCTCCGAAAATAAAGTACCGACTCCGCCCGCTACTGAGAAACCCTCTAGTACTGAACGGACTGAGAAACCAAAGAGTATTCCAAAACCAAGCGAATCAAAGACAGACAAGACTAGTACCCCAAAAACTGGCGGAGGAGGTTCTGAATCTAAAAGAACCCCCAGTGCTGAGAGAGTGTCATCAACCACTACCCCTACTGCTACTGCTAATAATAATAATAATGCTACTGCAAAGACAGGAGCAGCTGCTGATAAAGTAGAGCCTAAATCATCGTCTAAAGTTGATCACAAATCAACTGATTCAAAAACCAAACAATCGGAGGAAGTCAAGACAAGTAAACCTGTTAAAACTGAGCCTGTTTCGTCACAAACCACACCTACTTTTGACGCTAAAAATATCAAGAAAGATGAAGTGATTCAAGCCACAGCCACTAGTACCACCGAACCAAAGAAAGGTGTGGTCACCACGCCCACTCTTGAATCTAAAAAAGGTCTGTCTGTATGCATACACGCACGCATGATTAATTAATTAATTAAATTATTGTATTTTTATGTAGTGCCTATGTTATCTTTAGAGAAGTTACCAAGTGGGCGTGTCACTCGTCCAACTGATTCCGACTCACCTCGTGGTCAGAGGAGACCACACCCAACAACCACAGGCGGCCAATCAAATTCATCTGAAACTCATGATAAAGGTGGGTTTGGTTTTTTGCTGCTGTGGCTATGATGAAGCTATTGGTCCGTGTTTCTGACCAATCAAATGACAGATAGTTACTATACCAACACTGAGCCACTAAAAATATAATTTAAAAAAAAATATTTTTTAATCTTGGCGTTTTTGTTGCAGATTCAAAGAAAAGAAAGGTTGAGGAAACATCCACACCCGCTAAAGTATGGAAACCTTGTCGGCCATTTTGATCAATTAATTGTGTAGGCGGGACATGCCTCCTCCCCATCAACTGATAAAAAGGTTACAACAACCACAACAGCAGCAGCTGCTACTCCTACTGGAGGAGAAGGAGGAGATAAAACTAGTGGAAAGACCTCAAATAATGTTGCTACACCAAAACCAGAGAGGAAAAGGGTAGGTAATACTCTCCCTCTTTTCCAGCCTTTATTTATTATACTGATCATTATAGGAGAGGTTACCTGATAAGGATCCTCCTACCAATAGTGAAGCTGTTAAGAAAAGGCGGGAATCAGCACCTGGTGACTCTTCTAAAGAAACACCAGCTGCAGCTCAACCAGAACCTAAAGTACTTTAAAGGAATTATTATTTATTTATTTATTGTTGTTGTTGTTGTTGTTGTTGTTGTTTTTAGAAAAGAATAATCAAAGTTGTTAAAAGTGACAAGGCTGATGTTAGCAAGAAAAGAGCAAAAGTATATATTATTATTAATTAATTAATTTACATTTTATTTTATTTATTTTTACAGAGTCCTCCTGCTGCTCTTGTGACTGAAGAAAAGATTAAGAAACTGTATCCATTCTCTCCATTATAATAATCATCATCATTAACACATTCATGTTAACCCATTACCAATAAACCTTTCACTTTCAATATAACAATGATAATCACACGATTCTTCTGTTATATTCAGTAATTATTATCATCAACCAGTTTATCCATGTTCTTCTTCCTTAACTTCTCTTCATTAGTTCTACTACTAAACCAACTGCTAAGAAGCCAACCTGATCATCTCACCCAATCCTAACACACCTCCTCCTCCTTCACTCATCCCTTCATTTTGTACATTATTACTAAATTAAATGACACTCTTATTATTATTACAGTATTTTTGAGACTAATAATTAACAATGAATATTAATTAGCCACACCTACTACACGTGTACTTGTGTGAAAATGAGCAGAAAGAAGCAGTGTCAGTGTTTTAGCTCAGAACTGGAGGAGAAATGGAAGAGAGAGACAACAAAAATAACTGAAGATAAATTTAAAAGTAGCCATTGTCTCTATTTGCTGATGATTTGATGGTTTTTCATTTTTAGATTTTATAAATTCAGTTTTAGATTCCAAGGACTTATCAACACAATTATCCAGCGTTAAAAAGGTATTATATAATTGATTATTATTTTTGTAATTTTATTTTTTATTAGGTACAGGTTGATATTTTAGCTATAAGATCCGAAAATCATGTTAACACTGATTCTGATCACACTGATCTGATCATAGTCCTTAATGTTTTGGTTCAAATGCATTCAGTTTGTGAGCCACGCCATCCATTGCAAAGAACAATTGCAAGGTATTATATTATTTTTTTAATTTTATTTATTTATTTATTTTTAGTACCATTACAGCTGTATGGCAATTCAAACCTCTACTAATTGAGGCGGCCATTTTGAATACATTAAATGGATTAATTAATACAGTAGGTGTGGCTAATGAACTAATTGATTACGTCCAGTCGTTAATGGAGTATTATCCTCCTGGGGGGAGGGTACTCCATATTGCTCTGCCACAAGGTACCGTCAACTAAATTTGAACTGATTGACCAGTAAAATTTATAGTTATTAATTGGCTAACCTTGTCATTTAAAGAATACTGGAAATCTTTTTTAAAGTAATTTTTTATTTTTTGTTTATTGTTAATTATTAATTCTTAGGTCGATTGAATTTCAAAATCTTCTATTTTCTTTGTCTAAAGTTTTACTTAACATTCTTCATTTTTGTAATCGTCTACTAGTGGCATTAATCCAATCATGTGACTCTGGGTCATGTGACCTTGATGACATCATCATTACATCATCAAAGAGCCTAACGGTACGCCCAAGTGAAATCAAGTGGTCGAATGGGAGGGACACTGGTCAACTGGTACAACAACTTAAAGAAATACAAATATTGACAGATAATATTCTAAAAGAAACAAGTAATAGGAACATTTATTTATTTATTATTATTATTATTATTATCAGGTATTCAAATTTCAAGGGACACTCGTATTTCGGTTGCCATGGTCTCCATTGTTGTCATAGCAACCCTCTCTCCTTCTCTTCAACCTGTTCTCCCTCCACTAGCAAAGAAGTGGCTCACAGAAGGAGATTACTGCTATCCTCCATTAAGCAGACTAGCACTAGTCCATGGGCTGTTGGCTAAGTTGTCAGGAAAAGATTTGTTATGTATCAAGATGGAGGAGAAGGATGAAAGAGGTGGGGGAGACAGAAGTCAGCCATTTTTATTGTGGCTGTTCCCAGTACTGACTGGATTAATGAAGGAGTGAGTTTATACTTGATATACACTACAGCTGCTATGAGATAAGGTTTAAAATGGCCGTAACTCGAAAAATTGAAGTCGGAATCAGCTCAAACTTTCTACACAGCATAAGTGCATCAATATGTATCAAAAATGTAATAAAAAATTGTGGGTGATTTCAGAGCCATTTTTTGGAAAAAACCATGGACTATTATAGTACAGGGACTTTTTCAAAAAATGGCTCCGAAATCACCCCCAATTTTTATTACATTTTCTGATACATATTGATGTCCTTATGCTGTGTAGAAAGTTTGAGCTGATTCCGACTTTAATTTTTCAAGTTACAAGCCATTTAGTCAGCAAGTCTATAGTGTAATGTTATTATTATTTTTTATTTTTATTTTATTTTTTAGTCTCACAGATTCTTCTGACAGATATGTTGCTGCTCGTACTTTATCTCATTGGTCAACTGTCTTAAGGTTTGAGTAAATATACAAACTTTTATTAGGTAATCTGATAAATTTTTAGTAGTGAAGTATTAACATTCATTAATATCAGTGATACTGATCTATCACCTGATGGTACACTGATCAGTAAATTAATGGAGTATATATGGACTCACTGGGAAGAGCCTATTGATGTAAGAGGGGTGTGGCCAATTATTAGTTAATTGATATATGAATAATTAATTAATGACAGGTCATCAGACATCAGTGTAGGCTAATATTTGAGAACCTTGTTAGTATTTACGTCAAATTAAAAGAAAAAGGTATTAATTATATAACCACACCCTCTTAATTAATCCTTTTATAGATGCTAAATTTGAGCGCTATCTCCAATCACTTTGTTCAACACTTCTTTCATTAAGTTCCCCATCACGTGGAAAGTATTCTTTATTATCGGCAGTATCTCCCCACGTTAGTGCCTCCTTGTTACTCTCCCTCTCTCCTTCTCTACCAGCTGAACTGATGGGTACTATGGGACAACAGAGTCTTGCTTGTAAGGTGGGTGGGGTTATGGGTGGGGCTTCATTGGGTCATTTTAGGCTGGAGAATTGTGGAGTTTATTGATAAAGTCTCATTTTGTTCAGACAGAGCCGGAAAACTGGAAAAAGGTAATTTTAATTCTTAATTAATATTTAATTGTGTTCGCCTACTAAAAAAGGTGTGGCTATATCCGCTAATTAATACATTATTAATTGGTGGATCTTTAGCTAAAGAACACGTTAAGCAGGTAAAACGAGGAGCCCCTATCATTAATAATTAATTAATGATTATTTGCAGTATTGTATTGGGTCTGTGTTCCTGGCCACACCTACAGCTTTGAGGCTAGTTAACGAAGCAATAGAAGAAGTATCACGTGACGTGTCATGTGATCAAACTGACGTACT